TCAATTCAAAAGGGGACCAGCAAGATTTTTTTTCTTGTAACTAATGAAAAATGAAAAAAAGAAAATCAGGTTTTTTTCCTGTCAGATATGCAGAGTTGTACATAGCAGTATTATATACTGAGTCATGTAAATAATGGGGTTGCAATAGCTTGAAAGAGAAAATAAAGCGCAAATGCTATGAAACTCGGACGCATATATCGAACCGGTAGCACGGCCTGACAGAGCCAGGTGGATACAGCACGCCGCTATGTTCGTGTTACTTTTCCTCCTCCCTGCACGCATGAAAGCCATCAAGAAGCATGACTCCAAATTAACTCGCATGAAAACATGAATTCTCGAGCTTCCTATTTCGGGCAGCCATTCAGCACCAGCATCCTGTAGTCTACTCGCGCACCGCTATCATGCAGCAGTGGCGAGCGGAGGCAGAACCCGCTCGACGGCCTGAAGAGAGCATTCGCCCAGGCACTGAAAAATGAAAGAGGCGCTGCCTAAGTCAATATTGTGTCAACAATAAGATGTTCTTACAACTCGTCGTGTTGCGACTCGTTGCCCTTTGCTGTGTCAAAGTTTAGTCGAGTTCTCCGTCGTTGACTGGCTGCTTCACATTTTACGGTCACTGTCGGTTGATCTCGCTGCATGAACTGCTCTTCCTCATCGCCGATGTTCCAGTCTTTGTCTCGATTTTCAGCCTCGCTAGGCTTGCATCTTTATGGACTCCCCCTCTGACGGGTTCATTCTGCTGACTGGCGCGAGCTGCTTCTGTTCAACGCTATGTAGAGAACCTGGAAGTCCACCAGGAACTGCTGGGTAAGGTTGCGGCATGTCCGGGCAACATCACTCGGGACCTCTGTGGTCGATGGCCACTTCTCGGGCCTTTTCACGCCGACATCCTTCAGAAACAAACGGTTATGCTGCTCCCGTCTCTGTAGCAAGGCTCGTTTCCCACGTCTGCGCAGTTCGGAGCCCTAACGCACTGTGCCAGCTCATTCTCTGGGATTTTTCATCATGGCTCGGGTCGCCTACCACGAGCCTTTGTTCAACGAATTTCCTGCGTCAATGTGGCTAGTGCGCGTGCCATCGGAGGACTTTTTTTCTCCTCGTGCACCGTCGCCATGCTACCATGTTCGACATGAGCCTCGTGCCTTTTATTTATGCAGTGATCCCACTCTTGCACCAAAGTGCGCCAAATCAGATTTGCTGCGCCATCCTGATAATATCGACGGAAATCGCGCCAAACTGCACCAAAGTCGGGTTTGGGAACATCTGGCACTGGCAATAGCCACGCGGGCACATCAATAAATGTGCACCTTGTTCCTGGGGCCACCAAAGTCACCGTGACGTACCTATTTTATTATGCTGAATAAACAACGATCGTGCATGTGTTCTAAAATCCAATAATGTTATGTTTGGTGCCCGCACGACTCTGTTGTGCACGTCCACTTAACGACGAAGCCTGCTCTTTATAGGGGCTCATGAGTCATGACATCTAGTCCCATCGGTAGCATGAAACTGTGACAATTCATTGGCGGAAGACGTCCGTTCAAGGAACGCTGCTGATAGCTCATTTGAAGAGTTGCGTGGCATGTAATAAGGCAATTTTCACTCATAACTGCACGCATGCCACCAGAATTTCTGTCACGTTTTCTGGACATTGCGGCATAATGTTCCATCTTTCGCGTCCATGCATCCACAAAAGAACGTGTGAATGATGGGAACGCATTGACACTTCTCCGCTAATATACTTTATTCATTTATCCTCAGAAGAGCTTTTTCGTAATTCCTTCCACCAGCACATCCGCATTTATCATCGCTGTGGCGGTAAAAGACCCTAAAAGATTCTGCCCTTTTGAACTCGAGGTTGCTATAGGGTCCGAATTGAATATCCTCATGTGCTTTCTTTTTGAATTTCATCTTATTAACAAAAGCATTCCTTCTGGTCAGAGCAAGAGCAATTTGGTTTTCATACGCGCAGCAATAGATCACTAGCGGCTCTGGTATCAGAAGGCCTGTTAGTTAATCGGCTGCCCCTTGTTACACGTTCGTCTCTAGCTTTTCAGTGTCAATAGCTAATGGTAAAAAAAGAGGGGGGGTGGGCAATACGGCATCGCATTAATTGCTTCACTTTGAAGGGAGTTGGGGAAGGGAGGTTGCTGTGTCGCTTGAAGGGTGCAGTCGCTGACGTGGGCTGTGTCTCACTCGAGCTATCTCGAAACATAATGAGACTGCTTGTGAACTTTCTGTGCTACGAACCTTTTCTTCGCATTTAGATAACTTACGGCACGAAATCGCTTCAGCAACTGGAGTGATCGTTGTCTCTTAAGCCAACGTCCTTTTCAGTTACATGATATCGGATCTAAAAGACACAATTTGTTTCTTTCACTGACGCTCTTAGCAATGAATGTTATTTACCAACAAATTGTATTGTTGTACCAGATATTAACGCTTGACGCCATTCGTGAGAAGTGTCAGCTCGCCGCGGGGTTGCCATTTCCAAGGTCCGTGCACTCGCAAAAACTTGCTGCATGCGTGGTGTTCGATATCCGCAACTTGGGTGGCTAGAGACTTCTGGAACATATCTTACGCCGATGCACATACAGATGGCATCATACTTCTCTAGAGCACCCAGCCGGCCGCTCCAGCTGTTGTTTTCTTCAGAAATATGAGAGATGACGTAATGATACCAAACATGCATATACTGCGTGTTAAACCCTTGTGCTATAATGTAAGTATCATTGGAAGCTTGTAGCTAACGTGAGATAGAAGCCACGGCCAACAACAGTGTCGAGAAGCATGTGCTCCCCTGCTCTATACAAGCATGATTCTATTTTTACAGCACGAATTGTACGAAGGAATCGATCTGCCAAATGGTGAGACGCTGGTGTGGCCTGCGAAGAATGCTCAGTGTATAACCCTATATGTCCACTTTAGAAAGCAAAGCACTTTTTGCACAGTCTGTTCGTGTTGAAAGTACAAGGCAGAAGGATATACCAGCCGTAAATAGCGCGCGCGCCAGCGATCACACCCATGAAGTCAAAGTTCATATCAACGTCCGTCCCCCCTCGTGTTCTTAGCTCCTTCCTGCTCTTTGGATTAGGACGGCACGCTCCTGCCTGCTTGTTTAACAATTGATGGGAGGTACGGCACGCGGAGTGATATTATCGCATCCACAGTGCAAAGGAGATAAGTCAGCTCCTTTTATCCCTGCTTTAGACGTGTTCGTCGCCCCCGCACGCGTGCTTTTATCTGCGTGTAAAACACACGATGCGCAGGGGGTGTTATCGATTGAGATATTACACAAAACATGCACGACCAAAGGCATAGCCGGGGGGGGGGGGCACATTGGGAATGTCTCCCCCCCCCCTGAAATTTTCTTCACCATGGCATATGTAGCACAAAATGACCTTTTTCCTGTGCCCCCCCCCCCCCCCCCATTTTAAAAATGTCTGGCTACACCCTTGGTGACGGCAAAAACAAGTAAAAAATGTCCATTTAATTGCTATCACATTTAAAAAATTTGCTTTTGCCTTCGAGTCGTCTTAGGCGTATGCATAAGGTACCCTGTGAGTTTGTTTCTATGCACTGCTTTCTAGAGGGCACGGTAAGAGTTTTTCGGAGTAGACAGAACGCCCTAGCTACATGAAATATCGCTGCAAAAGGAAAATGAAGTTTGTTAAATTGTGTAGTGTCAGCAGAAAGATGAGTTGCTTAAGAGGTTGGCTTTCTGAGACTAGCTGAATGACGTCATGTTACGCCCAGCTATCTAATTGGTTGTGAAGAAAAAGAACCTTTCTTTATTCTTGAAGTCATCTTAGGTAAATGCAGTGGGGACTATGTGAGTCTTTAGCGTTCTACGTCACAGCGTTTGTCTACAATATCTGCTGAAAACCGCATAGGTGTATTTGTATTATTTCATGAAGTACAATTTCATTCAACTACTATTCTGTTTATTTGCTACGAAAATAATCACTAAACAAGTTTTTCCAGAATGCTCAACAGCATGACTTGATTATTCTTGCATCACCAACTGAATTAGGGAGTGCTTCTAAGATGATTGGCTCCATGAAATTTGCAATGAATTGAAATATTTCTAGTGCTTCACAAGATCCTTAGAATACTTTTTATGTACTTGAATGTAAATGAAACTGGCTTCTCCTACAAGATTTGAAGTTAGTTGCTCCAGATTGCTCCAAAATGGAAAATTTTGCTGCTCCAAAATTGCTTCAAATCGGAAGACCTCGGTAGCATCACTGCTCATGACAATAGGACAAGTCGTACGTAATACTCATACGATTCAAAATAGGCCACACTATTGTGCATTAAAAGTTATAAAAGCACTATAAACTTCCTCAGATTCAAAAGAATTCCTGTTTTTAAATATGACAATGGTAAAATAATTGCAAAACGATGTTACGAGTGCTGCAAAACGACCGCCACAAGCCAAGTTATTCGTTACGACCCTGTGAGAGGCGTGCGATAATTGTAAACGGCCTTTGATATCATAGGAGATTCAAATGCGAAAGGCAACAATTTTTTTTCGTTTGCTGGGGTCCTGAAGTGTGAAGGCCAATAACTTCCATTACTATGTACCAATTTGAATAATTAATTTTATATTCATCTCATTATTCAGCACTACATGAATTTCAATGCTGCATAATGCAGATGAAAAAAATCACAAGGCCTTTTTAACCATTGTGCATCAACCTAATCACCATACATTCATTGGGTTCTCGCTTGTGACTGAAATGTTATAACAATTATAATATGAAATGGTAATTGAAATGCTTCCATATTTTTAAAGTGTGGAAATTCTGATGTATAAGAAAACAACTTTTTTCCTGTGGGAGCTGAGCTCACACCCTCCAACACAATGTATGCATGTTGCTCTGGCAGGTGAGCTATGTGATCTTTGCATCAACTTTCACGCCGGTTTGTGTACAAGATACAATACTGTTAATAGTGTTAGCCTATACCACGTGTGCTTCAAAGAGTTTTCATTGCAGAGCCCGGGGGACCTGTCGAAGAGCCCAAGGTAGCTACAGCTGTTCGGCTCAGCGCCATTCGTGAGGTGGTGGAGCAGGGCAAACATGCTCTTCTCGATGTCAGCCCTGGAGCTGTGGATCGGCTCAACTATGCCCAGTTCTACCCCATCGTGGTGTTCTTGCGAGCCGAAAGCAAACAGGCTGTCAAAGAGTTGCGATCACGGTTGCCCGTGAGACAGAGTGCACGCAAACTTTACGAAAGGGCCCTCAAGTTAGAGCGGCTGTGGGGACATCTCTTCACCTCTACAGTGGCCCTGACAGGTGCCGATATGTGGTACAAAAAGTTGCGTGAGACCCTGGACAAGCAGCAGCAGCTCAGCATCTGGTGCTCAGAGAACAAGCCTGAGGAGGCTATTGGAGACGACTTCCTCTTCCCTGTCACGTCACGACTCAGCTACGCCTCATCACCTGAGAGTGACCTGGAGCTGACCTCAGAGGGGGCTCGGCGATCGGGTCTATTGCGGGCCTCTAGTGACCCCAGTGTGGCCACCCAAGAGGATTCTCTGGCACCACCACCACCCTACCTCCCTCCTCTGCGGCCACCACCACCTGTAGGTCTTTGATCTCCATATCAAAGTGTTTTTTCGGCATGTTAGGCCCTTCTTCTACCACCTACTTTCTGGCTTTCTTTCACTGTGCGTCCGCAGTTTGTGTGTGTACATTACTGCTCCTGACTGAGCTAAACGTGCTTTATTGCATGACACATGGTGCCAAGCATCTATTCCTCCTACTTGAACTGTTTTGCAACATTTATTCACTCTTATTCTATTTGTGCATGCTGTGCAGTTGTTTGTGTTTTTCCAACTTCCAGAAGGAGTGTATAGCTTTTTTCTTTTTGTTTGTGTTGTTTTTATGTCCTGTTATATTGCTGCCAAATTACAGTGAATGTGTCATCAGCCTGCACAGAAAGCCAATAAGGTTGATGATCATCGTGAAAGCTAGGGGTCAGCGTTCAGAAGTGAAACCATCTCCTCGAGTACCACTTATTGTCCCGCCACTAAAAATGTGTAGCATGAGCTCTATCAGATTCGCAGCCACTACTGGCAAGCCTATAGCCAAGCTAAAATTATACTGCTACTGTGGTCATAGTGACACCTACTTTTATTTATCGTCATCATGGCCACTTTGCTTGCAGTAACTCTGAACGATCTCCAATTTGTCTTGTCCTGTACAACCAATTCCATTTTATGCCAGCTAGTTTTCTGCCGACCACCTAGACTTCTGCTGTCCCAAGCTACATTTCCTACCTATATCTAAAACCCCTGCCTTCTCAACCAGTTCCTCCTCTAGAAAAATGCCGGCCATGTGAGCCAAAAACTTCCTGCCCCCTCTTTTCTCTTCTTACAAAAAGCTTTCTCTCCTTCCTCATTTTTAATGGAAATGGTAGCTGACAATCCATGCGGTACCCGCTTGCAACACGCATGTGCACATGCACACACTACCACCCCAGCCTCATTGAGAACAAGATGGTGGAATGATGCACCATTCCTCAGCAAGCAATGACAACTCAATGTGGGCTGAATTGGCATAGTGAGCGATGCCACAGGCATCTTTTTAGAGAACTCAGCTCAGTAGCCGTATCATGTTATGCCTGTAACCTTTTGTTCCTTACGTGCTGTGTGGTTCCTGTCTTCATCTAAAATTTCTTTGTTGCTTTCCAAAGTTGTGCCCTACAGCTTGGAATATGCCAATGACAAGTTGGGAATGCCCACCTTATGCTTACAATCACGTAAGACTTTGATTTGGGTGAATTGGTGCATACTGTCACAGGGTCGTAATACCGACGAAGGGAGCAGAACTAGGTCCAAGACGAAACTGTTTATTCGGCCAAACTTAAGGCCTGTGACCAAAAAGACAGAATACAGCGATACACACTGGCACGGATAGCGGCAAACTGAGGGTCGGCCGTCGATCAACTGACAAGTGGGGAAGTGCATCGGTTTTTATACATGTGCTGTTGAATATTCCAGCCTTATCACTGGTCATCGCGCGAGCTCTGCAATAATCTCAAGGTTTCGATCAAGTAGCCTCAAACGACACATGTCCTTGAAGTGGGCTGGTTGCCCAGAACAACAAGTGCTTCCTGATTGTCATTTACAACTTCTTATCATACTGTGGACTCCTTTTAAACGAAACTCAAAGGGGTAAGAAAATTTGTTCCATTTATGAGGAGTTTCATTTAGGCAAAGCCCATAAAATGAATGAAATATGACTATTTCAAGGGCACCAACTGTAGCCGACTGAACAAGAACATTTTAATACTACTATAGTTGATTAGAAAGAAAGATGTTGCTAATATTGTCGGCTTGGGAAAAAGGAGGTGACAACAATTTGCCTTCATTGATTGATTGATATGTGGAGTTTAATGTCTCAAAATCACCATATGATTATGAGAGACGCCGTAGTGGAGGGCTCCGGAAATTTTGACCACCTGGGGATTTTTAATGTGCACCCGAATCTGAGCACATGCGCCTACAACATATCCGCCTCCATTGGAAATGCAGCAGCTGCAGCCGGGATTCGAACCCGCGACCTGCGAGTCAGCAGCCGAGTACCTTAGCCACTAGACTATCATCACGGGGCGACAGCAATTTGCCTGGCCTTGTTCGTGCACTTTCTCAAAATAGTAGGAGTGCATTGCTGAATGGCTGGGCAGGAACTCTGTGCCAACATCGTGTTCAAAGTAGCACTACAACAGAATAACAGCATCTCTTGCCGCACTATCAGCCACTGAAGTGAGCGCGGGATCACACACCATCTCATCAACACTTGAGCCGAACACAGGTTTTCATCTTGAACTTCAGATGTAGGTTCCTCGAGGCTGTCCTCAAGTTCACGACAAGACGTCGATTATTGCTCGCCGCGTGAGGACATGTGCAATTCCTAGATTGACTTGGCTAAGCTAGCTTTGGCATTTGTTTCATGGTTGCTAGACTGCCGTGGCTACTTCTGTCGTTCATGGATTTTGCCTGTATTAGTTTCATTTAACCGATTTAAGCGAAAGGAATGTTCCGATTACCCGAAACTTTTTATCATTAAATATATAGCAGACCAACCAAATGTGCCTAAATAGTTTCATTTATGTGGCTTTTCTGTTTAACCGAGTTTCATTTAATGGGAGTCCATTGTACTTTAAAGGAACACTAAAGCCAAATAACAATTTACGTCAGAGTGAAAGCTCACTGTATGACATCTAAACCGACAATATTATCAACAACAGTGCCCTACTTACTGAGAAATTAAGGTAAATGCACAAGAACACAAGCGTCACAGTAGGACATTTTCAAAATTATCCCGATGACATCAGGTGGACCGCCTACAATTAATCACTAGTAATCAATCTAACTGCACTAAAGAAAGAACATTCCACGCATCTAGACACACAATAAAATGTCTCTTGTTCGTTTCTGTATGATTAATGGAAAAAAAAACCACCGAACGTTACTATGGGCAATGGTGCGAGTGGTTCAAACATTCAATTTTCACGTGGTTACACAAGACATATGGTGCCATCCAGCGCGGCACAGTGGAAACAAAAAACGTCGGCAATCTTGAAGCTAATGGCAGGAAATTGGTCAATGGCCATTGTTTCTGCTGTGGCTCCCGCTGCTTTTGGTTTGCTGCTAGTTGCGCAGTGAAGCCGGGCAACGTTGTGCACGGCAACAGTGACGTGAGACAGTCCGATCGGTCCCCTTCTTGAGGCGGGTAATTTGAAGTGCGCTAACCCAATGGGGAGCTCTAAAACGTGATTTTATTTCAAAATAGGCCCTTCCTTGGCACAAAAGTAACACTATGAGGTTTCCGTACCCTCATTTCAACAATCAATCTCGACTTAATAGTTGCCTTTAGGGCCCCTTTAAACAGTGCGAATACAGTCGAAAACTTTACCGTGTATGGCAGCTTCAAATGCAGCTGCGGCATTGGTTTGTGCAAGAGACGACGCGATGGCAAGTATACTCCAGTGGCAGCGCCTGGCGGCTAAAAGCCACACTAATACCGATGACTGCTTCCCATTGAAACCCACTCCTTCGCCCAAGCACTTAAAAAATAGAAGAGGCGCTGGCTTAGCTTGACCATGCTGCAGTTAATGCTTATCTTATGTGTAGCTGTGCTGGTTTTCACTAATGTATCGCTCCAAAAACGTACATGCTGGTGTCCACCAAAGGTTTACAAGTCGTCCGTCAGCTGCGCTGCTGTGTCAGCAACATCAGCATCTATTTCATGTAATATAGTTTCAAAATTTGATGGTAGCGCATGATCATGAGAATGAGCTGAACTGTTTTTCCACACAATGCCAAAGCAAGAAAAGTTCGTGCAATTTCGGTAATGTTACAATAGTGTCATCACATATATTTCTCGATTGCTAACGGCAGCACATGTCAGGTGATGGAAATTTGAGGCAGTTACTGCGTAGTTACACTGCGTTTTTCGGTGGTGCCTCTGGTAATCTGTCGTATGTGCATCAGAACTACCGCAGCAGCGTCTTTATTGCTGCGATCTCGCTTTTAGATGCAAAGCAGATCTATGACTAGCCTGTTTTGCTGTCTGTTCGTGCCTCCGTGCAAACGCACCACACCTCATGTCCCCCCTCCCCCCCTTCTGCCGCAGTTGTTGGAACAATTCCAAGTAGCTCAAGTCGCAACTACATATTGACGTCACTCTCTCTCTCACCCGCAGCAGCTGCCGGCTGCTCCCAACACACCTAGGTGGTATTACTCCTCCTCCTGCTCGCAACACATTTCTCTAGCTTCACCCTCTCTATCGCCCGCAACACTCGACCACACGTCAAGTGGAAACACTCTTCCGGCTCATTTATCTGTGATGAAACTTACACAAAACCCAACCAGCCTCCCGTGTCTTTGCATTTCAAAGAAAAGTTTACTCGACTAAAGGCTACACCATGTTTCGTTTCAAACCGTTCTTCCAGCGCCCACGTCGACGCCTGTTTCAGCCGAGTCAACGGCGTGCACACTGCTGCTGCTTTACGTCCAATCATAGTTTATTTATTTATTTATTTATTTCAGAAGTACTGCCAGCCTCACACATGAGGCCTTAGGCAGGGATGGGTGATACAAAAAAGGAAACAAATATGAAGATACAACAGGAAAGGAAACACGTCACGTAGAGCTTACACCATGAAGAACTAGTACATCAAAGTAAAACGCCAGTACTTACACAATTGTAATGGTTTACGCGTACACATACAAAAAAAAAACTATGATGACAAACATCTGATCATACAGAACTAAGAAACAAATATCATATGATGGTTCAAAAATCGCAACATTTCAAAAATACAATGCATTGATATGAAAAAAGTGATAAAAAGTGAAACATAAATAGAAGCCTGTTCAGGATACGCAGTGGAAAAATAGAGGGCGAAGCGCAAAGGAAGATCAAAGTCAAGTGGGTTGCTTGTGTTTAAGTTTCTCCATGAACGTCTGAACGGTTTCGCAGTTCACCAGATCGGCAGAAAGAGCAAAGAGTGACAGTGCACGGAAAAAAAGTGTTTTTAAAGGCTTTTGTTTGACAGGAATATTCCTTCAGTTTT